GAGCAGGAGGGAGGCAAGAGTTGGAGGGGTTGGAGGTAGACAGAGAGGTCGAATCAGTGATGATAGCCACAACACCCTCAAGCAGAGATGTGAAGACTCGCAAGAGGAAGAGAGAAGTAGAGGGATTGGGTAGTCCTTCAGTGGATGGTTTTGGCTCGATGCAAGACGGCGGCATGCAAGACGGCGGCATACCCTCGAAGTAGAGAGGGAGATAGAGGCTTCCACCAGTTCGACATCGGAGGAAGACTTTAAGCCCCAGAAGATAAACGTGAAGAGAGGTTCAACGAGCGGACAGACATGGGAAGTGGATGTCGGCAAAGAATGGGTTTCGAAGGCACACCAGGCCACGGGGAAGCAAGTGGCGAGTGATCCACTGGAGAGGAATAAAACGAGGAACACCTCCCGGACATGGTGGGTGGCCCTAGAGACATTGAAGGAAATGGAAGACTGCTTGAAGAAGTTGGACAGTGGAGTGGCTCGCAAACGACGCAATTGGGCCACCCAGCAAAAGGCTGGGGTTAACAAGATAGAATTGGCGAATCAGCTGAAGAGGTCCTGGCAGAACTTGTTGAAGGATCATTTCGAAGAGGCAATGAGGACATCCTCGTCAGCGCCGCCATTGATGGCGAATCCCTTCGTTAGAACCGCAGGACAATTGATGTTCACCTGGAGTCTGGTGGGAATAGAGTTGGAGACATTGACCTCATATGACAGGCTGAAGTTGGGAAGCAAGAAGCTAGATGTGTATCAAGCATTGATGCAACACGTGGCCAGGGATAATTCAGGCTTGAGCCTGGCTAGGAGGAAGGATGCCACATGTTTCTTGAGATGGATAATGTCAATGATGTCTGACAGCACCATCTTGGCGTGCCACCAAAGGGCAAGCGGAAGTAAAACCGTGGAAAAAAGAGTCTCAACGATCATCTTAAACGTGTATCAGAGTACTGGAATAGAAAAGGAAGATGGTTCCAGACTATCCCTAGAGAACCACAGAAAGCTAGATGAGGTGCGGAGGTTTTTTAACAAGAAGTTCGAAGAAGAACATGATGTTCACCGTAACCTGGCCTCGTCAGAGCAGTACTCGAGACCCAGCGAGAAGGGGGAATACCAATACGTGTCAGGAGTGATGGGAATAGCCTACAACCCCTTCTTAGACTCAGAAACTGGAGGCGCTCACAGGAACCACGAGGTAGCGGAGCTGCTGAAGTTTTGGACAGAAAAAATAATGGAAATAGACGCGGGGGAGAAAGAGAGGCCGAGCCTGGGCCTGATTCTTGAGAAAACACCGGAGGTGGTGAGCATACTGCGCTCGAACAAGAGAGTTGAAGTGAACATGGGTGATGGCAATGGCTTGCTGATCACGAACTTGGGAGTGGTATGGAAGTTACTAAGACCCTCCTGGTGCCCACATCCCCACGCGAGTCTGATCGAGGAGACCACCGAACGGGTGAGGTTAGCTCCAACGGAAGATGAAGATTTGGCAAAATTGAGTGTGGTGCACAAACTGATCTTACCTCAGATGAAGGAGTCAGGCGAAAAGACGAACAGTCTTGAGTCAGCAAAGAAGATGGAGCCGGGTAGCTGTCTGGATTCTACGTGTGGGAGTGGAGAGCACACCTGCGATGGACGATCATGTGTCAGGATATTGTCTTTTCAAAAAGAAGATCTGGTTACTTGGTTTGAAGACATCACGGAAAGGGAGAAAAGTGAAGTACAAATAGTGGCGGAGTGTTACGCGAGAACTACGGTGAACATAGCGACAGCTCTCGGATTCTTCTCGAGAACGTGTAGTCTGCAGTCACTGGAGAGGCTAGAGTCTGAACACCATTTAGTGACGGCGTTGAGCGTGGAATCATGGCCGGGAGTGTTGCAGGTGACTCAAAAACATATCCGGAGCTGGAAGGTTGGTCTCGAGGCAGAAATGGGGTTTCCCATGAGCGAAGCTTATGGCCTGCCGTTGAAAGCAAAATCCCTGATAGGGTCAATGATGGCCAATTTGTGCGGGAGCCACTACCCACTGCACATGGCGATGGTGGAAGCATCCAACCAGAGAATATTGGTGGACAAGGCCTTCTCAGTGCCCAAGTGCGTGAGGTTGGCTCGGGTATCGCATCACTCGCACAAGTTGTTGAGGAAAATCAGAGGGACAGTACCGAAAGAGTTGAGAGATGACTTGAGTGAAATCTGGGGAGAAGAGCTTTTGAAGTTGGAAAGTGAGAACACAAGCGATCACGAGAGACAAAACGTGATCGGAAAACCTGTGGGGGGTACTCCAAACATGGGAGAGAACGACACGATGCATGAGAAAATGATGGAGCTTGAGCCTCTCTTGGAAGCCTCGGGGGAGCGTAACCTCAGGAGCATTGAGATCACCCATGGAGAATGCCCATGCCACTGTTTAGCACAGACGGTGTGGTATCCAGACCACAAGAACCTTTGTCTGGTGTGGGATATGGAAGAAATTCGGTCGATCTGATTACCGGATCACCGCAGAAGGTGACGCTCTTAGTAGTGAGTACGATGCTGGCTCTGAGATGGATAGAGGAGAATATAACAAAGTATCGGGAAGCAAAGACGCCAACGGCTGAGTCAATATATGTGATAGACTACAGCAGGAGACTCGAGTTGTTTGAGACTGCATGCAAAGTATTCGCCATACCAACGGAAGTCAGACACGTATGGAGCCGCTTGAGGTACTTTCTATGGTTTCGAGCGACACTGACGTCTTGGTTATACATGACAACGAAAGATCACATGAGAAAGCATCAAAAGGAGTATCGACAGTTCCAGGCCGAGATTGGGCCGGAAGCTTTCAAGAGACCCCTGTTAACCCATCGAAATGCGATCACGACAGGATGGAAGAGAGTGGGTAAAATGTCTAGAGACAATACCAAAGCGAGGGAATCAATACTAGAGGAAGACTTGGCGAAGAACGTGAGCTTGAGCCTACACAACTCCTTTTGTTTGAACCGGGAATCAAGGGTGAAGGCACTACCCAATCAGGCAAAAAGGTTGCAGGAGCAAAAGGAATGGATGCGATCCTATGAACAGCTGAAGGCTTGGGAGGAGATCGTGATTAGCTCCGATGATGAAGAAGAACTGTTGGGACAGTTTGCCGTATCCAGTACTTCAGGAGACGGCACCTCCAAGGCGAAGAGTGCGAAATGAGCGGATGGCTCAAATGGATCTTGAGTCTTGAGAGGGAAAGGGGGCTTGAGTGTGGATCCGGGTGAAACCTGGGTTCACGAAAAAGAAATTTTAACGAAACAGATATTGTTATTAATATGCTATATCTATTATATAAATCAAAATGCTGCATGACAATTTCCTAATTGAATGGGACAAAAGAAATTTTAAATAATTGGCTTGAAAAGCGAGAATTCATAGGTGCAAGTGTGTGCAGATTTTGATTGCTGTTTAGCGATAGTGTGAAAATTTTACATGGCCGTGAATTTTGGGGTGTAGATAAGCTTAAGTCTGCTGCAAACTTCTGTAAATGACCACTGGCACTGTACCTTGAGCAACACTCAATTTTTTGGGACTCACTGGCAGACGACAGCACGCGATGAGGACATCGATCTTGAGTCCGGGGAGTATGTGCCAGTCGGTCATATTTGGAAGTTTGACCTTGAGAAAAGCAAGAGCACTTAATTTTGGGGTGAAATTTAATTTTTCAAAAATTCGAATGGAGCCTGTCATGCACGATTTTCTCGCGATAACTGAAAACCGAAAAAGAGAATTCAGAACGATCGAACAACACTCGCGGGAAAGTTGCTAGATGAAACAGTGGGAAATTGCTATTCGCAATTTCTGTCGGAATAGAACGAGAGTAGAGCTGTCCCATCTGAAACAGAGACAGGCGTATTCCCGAGAACTGGATTGTTATCACTCGATTGGATTACTATTTGAACTGAATTAGAGTGAACCTTCGGTGGAAAGGTGGACAGCTTGAGTGTCCCAATGGTTCACGAGAAACTACATCCTAGAGTTAAAACTTGTCCTTGTCATTGAAACATTAAAACTCATTTAGTTACGTTATTTAATTCTCGAGTTAATTACCGACTGAAGTACTTCCCTTTCTTGAGTGTGCTACGATGTGAGTACTTAATTTAAATTTCTAGAGTGTGTTTTATGATTGTTATGTTGAGGTAAGGCGAGTTTTAGGTTGATCCATCTGAAATGGATCAAAGTTCCACTGTCTAATATAAAGTAACTTAACGGATTGTTCCAACCCGGTTTTTAACGGCGTTCATGTATTTTGGGTATCTAGAGACCTGAGTATGGGGACGTTATTATTTCTAGAGTGGGGGATATTTTGGTAGTAGCCTTTAAGCTGTAACGGGTCGTAGTCTCATGTCACAAGCGAACCGAATTGGCTCCGACTGATTTGAGGTAGAAAAACACAAGAGATAGTGTCCCTGACTCTTGAGCCAATGGTTATAGGGCCTATTTTTCTTAAGCCTCATGTGTGACTACAGTAGACGAATGTTACATATATACGCTATATGTTTGGACTATCTATAAAATCGTTTGTAAAGTTTTGATACCAGCTCGTTCTTAATTCTTAAAACTGATGTTTTTTTAGTATCCGTAACTTCATATATTTTAATCAACCAATTTCTGAACTGTAACCGAACTTGTTTTGTTTTGTTGTTTTGTTTATTGCTTGTTTTCTGATGTTGTGTTTTTGTTTGATGTAACCAATGAATTTTAACCAACTTTATTATTTACACTGTGCTATACTGATGCCTCGGCTTTTTACTGTATAGTAATTCAGGTGTTCTTTCTTCTTCTTCTTCTTCTAATTAAATTCATTTAAATCATAAAATCGAACAAGGAACAATCTCACCCGAGCTCAGTAGGTCCAGCGGTGCACCACCAGACTCTTCAAGCCAGTTCCAGTTTCCACCTCCACACCGAAAGCCACTTGACAGACCTGTCTCTAAAATCCCTCAGAGGGCGCTCCACAAACAGGCACAAACATCAAATATAACAAATCTATTTAATAAGTTTATCACAACAATTAGGCTAAAAGGTACAGGCTTTCTGGTACAGATCTCTTTTGGCACATTGGCGACAAATATATCCCTGAGAAAGACCGCACGTTTTGCCGCACTGGTTTCGTCCCATGGATGGAAAATTAGTATTGGCAGGGGGTGACTCTGCACGTTTGAAATTTTGGAAGCCGGTTTTTTAGCCCAATTTTTCGCTCGCCTCCAGGCTATTCTCCCGGTTACTAATTTTCGAAAACTCATGAAACTTCTCCATCATCAGATTGGTTTTTGCGTCTATTCGGGCCTCCAATTTTGTCATGGTATGGCTGCTCATCCGATCATGTTCGTTCAAGGGTCATTTTCTTCAGTCAGGTTACCCTAAATCTAAAAATGTTTCTTTGCGAACCGATTTTTACATAAACCGTTATTCTAAGACTTAATAACCTATTAAAAGGCTATGAAAAATTTCGACCTATAATATCAGATTTATTCCAATCGGTTCAATGGTCTTTGAAAATTAAAAAAAGTGTTTCGTTTTTTTTGCCTTTTTCTCAACACTCACATAGACTTTCATAATTTTTTCTCGCAATTTTTGCTCAAATCGCTTGAAAATTTTTGATACAACGCAATAGCACTAAAAGATACTAAAATAATGCAATATAATGGACCAAAACTGTTTAGAAACAAACTTTTAGCCAAAAACTGTCATATTCGACCCTCCAAATGCTTCTTTAAAACTTAACATCTCTGTTTTGTTTCAAAATGCTACTGAGATGGTTGCCTTAACACCAAGCAAAACCGCTCGCGAAACACTTAAAAACTAAATTTTTCTACAGATTGATCTATGTCAAAACTTCACAAACAAAACTCAATTAAAAAATTATTTTCTCATTTTTCTGAGCTTATTTCTGCGCGGTTTCTTTTAAGTAGTTAACCGCACTTGTGCAGATGATTTTTTCCGTTCGAAGAATCTTGAATTACCAAAGTTTTGATGTTAACGAGTGGTCCAAAAATCTTATTTTTTGACAAAATGTGTTTTTTAACCTTATTTTAGTCTTGAATTTCACTTACTGTACCCTCTTATTTTTACCTTTTTTCCAATCAAACCATTTGATTCGGATTTTTGCAGTCGATGGAGGAACAAAGAAACCGGTCCCATTGTACCTCCTATCTTTCTTTTTTTTCAGAATTAGTTTCCCAACGATAACAAAACTGCTCTGACGATAACCAACAAACATTAAAGTGGGGCAAAAGGTTTTGAATTAACCATTAGTATAAAGTATAGAGAAATACTGAAAGTGTACAATTTATGCTGGAATGATATTCGATGAGAAATGTTTATTGATTGTGGCACAAAATGTTTATGTCGGTGTCTCGGGTACTACAGGACGTGTATTGCTGTTTCTTCCGGTGTCCTCTCAAGGCTATCAAGGCAGTTTTCACAAACATTAAAGTAGTCCCTCATGGCTCATGTTGTGTCTGACGCTCGACTGCCCTGACGCGCCGAACTACCATCCAGTCACCGGCAAAAATATCTTTAATGTGCTTAAATACTCATACACCACTCCATTGATAGCATTTAACAAACAATCAACAATCAGGAATGATAAGAATTAAATTGAAGCAACAGAAAATAGGAAATTCAAATCGAGTTTTGACCGACAGAACATATTCATATTGTTTTCGTTTTGTTTTAGGTTTTTTGAATTTTATTTTGTTTTTTGTTCTTTTTGGTTTAAGATACAATGACTTATTGATTTTTTCTTAATTTTCACTGTTTTCAGAGTCGTTTTTTTGGTCTTAGAGCCGAAGGAGAAGCCGGTCATTGACTTCCCACCTAAGCCCACGCCCCCCGAATTTTCGGTCATTACTAAATTGAAAAGTTAAACCGAGCTAACTGGAGGGTCCGTGCCCTCCGGCTAGCTCAATACGGGGCATTAATGCGCTTAAGTAGAAATAAGGCGTTCGTTGATAACAATGGTTAAATACCTTAATCAGGCCCACTCAAAAGTGCTAAGAAAAACTTCTACATAACATTTGCCCAGAAATTTCACTGCGGTTCCACGTGTTTTTCACCTTTTGAGCGAAGCCATATGATATTCGGTTTGTTCATGCGTCAACAATCGTGTTTAGATTTTATGGCTAGCGGCCGATCGAATCAAGTTTCTGTTTGTTGAAAATTTGTTTTGAATTTTAAAAAATTGAAAAAAAATTTTCAATCGTTAGAAATCAATTGAAAGAACATAATGGGAAACACATAGAAGGAACGTAAATTAAAAATTAAACAAAATTAACTGTTAAGAAAAGTTTTTTGGACTAAATTATAAGCACAACAACCTATTGATCTTTTGCTTGTACGCAAGTAAGACTTTTAACACCTGCGATAAGCAAGGTATTACAATCGGTACTTTGTTTTCTTTTCCGTATTTGGTCTAATTTTTAACTGCTTTATCGGTTTTGTTGGTTTAGTTGTCCCATCCAGGAGGTTTTTTGCCCAAAACATTTTTCAATGTAGTTGCTTTATTTTTTTGTTTTCGCAATTTTACAGTTTTTAATCAATTTAAAAATTTTATTGAAATTTTTTAATCAGTTCAGAAAGTTTTTATACAGTTTAGAATTTTTTTATTTTGTTTTGTCTTGAAAAGCTTCTGCTCAGGTTTTTCAGCTGTGTTACTGGTTCGTATTTACACTCGCGGTTAGCTAGAGAATTGCACTGGGTAGCGCTAGACTTTTCCATATCCTAAAGCTAGATATGGTAGGCTTAGGTTCAGTTCAAAAAAATTTAAATACATACTATTGTGTCCGGTCCAATTGGTCTGAAGGTATCAAAAACGCCTGCAACGGCAAAGCTTCTAGGTTTGTAAGGTCAAAAGGTTCCGTTTCAAAAATTGTCGTCTTATTTGTCTTCTGCTTATGTTTATCGTCTTAGTTGCCCTTTTGTAAAAATTAATCGCAAAAGTAAATGGCAAGGTAAGTTGTAGTTGCTTCAAATGTTTTTTTAATGTGTTTGTATTTTTACTAACCCAGACTTCGTGTATTTTTTTTATGGGTTGCGTTGAAACCTAATCCTGCACAATTGGTTTCGACGTAATTTTTCACGGGCTTAGTGTTTTATTTACGAAAAGATAAACTTATTGTTCTCCTCTGGATCGCAAAAATGCAAAAAAAAATTGAGGATGATGGTAATTTTTGCTTTGGTTTAGTTGTTTTTTTTTTCTATTGAGTATTTTTTTGCTTGATAGGTTTCGGCCAATAATAAATGGTCTTCATGCCTTCGTGTTCCTACTTTTGTGAATTCTTTTTGTAATTTTTTTTCCTATTTTTTTTTGGAATGTTTTCCTTTCACAATCAGCCTTATTAGTTTTGATAACTTCATTTTTTCGAAATGTTCTATCTTGCGATAAGAAGGGTACTGCAATCGGGTTTTAGATTTTGCCTTAAACAACAGTTGTCCAGAGGACTCCTTTCTGGACTCCTTTGCTTCTTCGTCCGCTTAGCAACTCCTACTCCCCTCGGTTGCAAATATTAAGCTTGTGAGTTTGTAATTTGAAATATCCGTCCTTTTAAAAATCTGATTTGTATGTTAGTTGTGATTTTTCCAACTCGATTTGTTATAATTTGTTTTCTGTGTCCTTTTTTCGGCTAAAAAGGTTTTGACATATTTTATATCGACTTGGTGGCCTAATACCCAGTAGTTTCACGGAAAACATAATTTCTAGGCTCTCCTCTGCGTTGCACAGAATGCTACACATCTTAGAAAAATTATAGTTCATTTTTTTCACGACAACAATTTTTTCGGAGTTTTTGTTTTACTTTTTTTTTTGGCGTGATCGGTTTTGGTTTTTTTTTGTATAGGTTTAATGGCCGCATATTACGGCTTTCGATGGTCGTATCAAGTTTTGGTGTGCTTGTCTGTGTTTTGAGGGGGACTACGTTTTCTCATTAATTGAAGTTTTTTTTGAATTTTTTTTCTGCGTCTTTCTTTTACTAGTTTTTTCGGCTTGATATGTTGCAGCTTATATTACATCGGCTTAGTCGCCTCGTACTTCATCGGTTCACGAGCTGTGTAAGTTTTTCTTGTCTTGATAGGTTTATGTTTATACTACATTGGCTTATTCGCCTCATATTGCGTCGTTTCACTCGCGATGTATGTGTTTTGAGAGTGGTTTTTTATTTGTCTGAAATTTTTTCGGTTTTTTCCGGGCTTTACTTTTTTTTCTTTTTCGACTTATATAGTGGCCGCTTTTTGTTTCATTTGACGCGAGAATAAAATTTCTGAGTGAGTGTGTTTGTTTGAGGGTGAGGGGAACTTAATAATTTTTTTTTTAAATCTTCGGCCTACAGGGTTTCTGCGAAAGTATTTTCGGCTTTGATACCGCTTGATATTTTTTCTTACGATGCTAGTTTCACATTCTATTGTCTTGGCTCGATGTTAATTGAAATCAAGCCTTATCAGTACATCAGTTTTTTTTCGAAATTTTCATTTTTTTTGACTTAGCGGCTTTCTTGTTTTGCATTGCAAGTGTTGGGAAGCTCAGCTTTGCCTTTGTGTCGAATTTTTTATTCGATTTTTGCGGCTTTATGGTTTTGTTTTGCAAGTGGTGCGAAGCTCAGCTCGGAAATTTAAATTGAATTTTGGCCGACATAAAATTGTCATATTGTTTTCGTTTTGTTTTAGGTTTTGAGCATTTTATTTTGTTTTTTTTTTCGCTCTTTTTGGTTTAAGATACATTTGATTATTGATTTTTTTCTTACTTTTCACTGTTTTTTTTTAACTTTACGCCTTGACAGTTTTTTTTTGTTCTTAGAGCCGAGCCGAAGGAGAAGCCGGTCTTTGACTTACCACCTAATACCCCGCTCCCCAAAAGTCTTAACTAAGTTGAAAATTTAAACCGAGTTAACTGGAGGGTCCGTGCACTCCGGCTAGCTCAATGCGGGGCATTAATGCGCTTAAGTAGAAATAAGGCGTTCGCTGATAACAATGGTTAAAACCTTAATCAGGCCCTTTCAAAAAAGGCTGAAAAAAACTTCTACGTAACATTTGCCCAGAAGTTTCACTGCGGCGGAAACTAGAAAAAGTCTGAATTGAAGGCTGGCTGACGTCAAAAAACTACAATTCCACTGTTTTCCACCTTTTGAGCCAAGTAATTCGATTTTTGGTTTTTTAATGGGTCAACAATCGTGTTAAGATTTTATGGCTAGCAGCCGATCGAATCAAGTTTCTGTGGAAAGTTAGTGTTGAATTTATAAAAAATCGAAAAAGTTTTCAATCGTTCTGAGGTTAAGAAATCAATTGAAAGAACATGCTGCGAAACACATAGAAAGAACGTAAATTAAATATTTAATAAAATTAATTGTTAAGAAATGTTCTTGAGACTAAAGTATAAGCACAACAACCTATTGATCTTGTGCTTGTACGCAATGAAGACTTTTTATACCTGCGATAAGCAAGGTATTACAATCGGTTCTTTATTTTCTTTTCCGTAAAAAAACTTTGTTCACAGGACTCATTTGGGCTCCTGGTGGTAAAATGGTCTACACTGAATTCAAATTTCTTAGCGCTTAGTGTTTTGCATGTTTAACTTGAAGGTAAAGAATGGGCCAGATTTGAATCAAAGAAGGTACCGGATTTAAATCTGACAACGAATTGTTTTTTTTTCAAAAAGGTAAATGTTAAAATTGGCTTAGTCGCCTCATATTGCGTCGTTTCACGCGCTATATTTGTGTTTTGAGGGTGACTTTTTATTTGTCTGAATCTTTTTCGGTTTTTTTCCGGGATTTTTTTCCTTCTTTTTCGGCTTATATATTGGCCGCTTATTGTTTCATTTGACGCGAGAATAAAGTTTGTGTATGAGTGTGGTTGTTTGAGACTGAGGGGAACTTGATAATTTTATTTAAAAAATTTTCGGCCTAAAGGATTTTTGCGAAGGTATTTCCGGCTTTGTTACCGCTTGATAGTTTTTCTTTTCAATGCTAGTTTCACATTCTGTTGTCTCGGCTCGAGTTTGTTTCAATTCAAGCCTTATCAGTAGATCTGTTTTTTTTCGTAATTTTCATTTTTTCTGACTCAGTGGCTTTCTTGTTTTGCATTGCAAGTGGTGGGAAGCTCAGCTTCGCATTTGTGTCGATTTTTTTATTCGATTTTTGCGACTTTCTGGTTTTGTTTTGCAGGTGGTGCGAAGCTCAGCTCTGCCTGAGTTGTAACTTCAAAATCAATCAATCATCCGGAGCATCTGGCTTAAAGGTAACACAACTGATTGAAACCGCAAAGGGTTGCGGTTCGAATACGACCGGGGCCTAATTTTTTTTGTAAACTAGTGTTTTGTGCTTTTTCAGGCTATCGTCCGTCTGTTTATATTTATCGGCTTGCTTCTCTTCGCCCGACTTTTTTTTGAAGGTTCAGCTTTCCTCCAAGTTACTGTAGCCCCCATGCATGAGACGACTGAGCCCTCGAGTTCGATTTCAGTCGAGACCTGTTTTTTTTTGCAAACAAAGTGTTCGGCTAATTTAGATTATTGTTGGTCTGCTTGTTTTTGTCCACTTTGTTCCGTAGGAATATTTTTTTTTGATAATTTGGTTTTTTCTTGTATTCCGAAAGCTTTGTAAAGTTACTAATGATACAGGCAGTTTTGTTCAGAATATTTTGGGATTTTGTAGTATTTTATTGACTAAAACGACTTTTTCAATTTTTTCAGGGTGATTTCAATCAAAGTCATCCATATTTGTTCCTCAAGTGGTTTGAGCTTATAGTGGTTTGAGCGTGTTTGAGTGGTTTGAGCGTGTTTATTATTCAGTTTGAGCTAATAGATCGTTTCAGGGTAATAATGACATCTATAATTGTTCTAGTGCCAGAAACTGGACAGGTTTTGCTTCAGAAGAACGTAAATTCAAGTAATATTCCCTCAATTACCTACTTACCTATGGGCGGGACGTTTACTTACGGTCAAAGGTTTGATGTAAGGCTCGAAAAGTTTAAATGTGAGCATCACATCACAAGCTTTCTTCCAGTTTCGGAGTTTATCATGATAGTGGCTGTCCAGAAAAACGAAGTTCAAGTTGACGAAGAACATACCTATTACATGAACTGTGTAATACAGGATTTCGCCGCCGGTATGGTCCTTCTGAAAGGACGAAACGAACTTAGTGGGGCTGCCTTTACCTCGTATGACATCAATTTACACACAAACAGATTGCAACGAGAGTTCCAGATGTTTACCCCATTCTTTGAGCAACTTATCAGATCGTCTTCAGCTCCTAGCGTTCTTCTCAACACTTGCGATTTCATCCTCAGTGAAAAACGTAAAGACTTGAACGAGCTGCTCGAAGGCTTCACAGAAAGTTGTGAATGCTTACACGCTTGCATAATGATGGGAGGTAAAATCGTTTGCGGTACGAGCGAATGGTTTAAACTAATTAAGATTCCTGAAATGCGATTAATTGTATCCTTCGTTACTTCAATTTACGAAAACACCCTGTCTTCGATCTCAGACATTCCGGTATATCTACCTTACACAAATCCTGCAGCACCAATTAGACTTTTGAGGGTGCAACTCATGCAAGATGCGATGCTCTGCATGTTGTGTGAAAACGACGTCAAAATCCAGACAGTGATAAACCAGATTGAACAAATTCTGGCCACAAAGATTGATTTAATTCAAGGTGCTCTTCACATAAAGGACAGATGTTTCCCGATTCAAAGCCAAGCAAACGCGCATGTTCAAGCCTTCTGTTGTTATAGCAGAACTACTCGGCTTTCTGTACTCTCATTCAATCCTCACACAAATATTGCGAGCGACTCTTCAGTTGCAGCAGGCGCCTCCAGAACCATGGACAAGGACACTATGCGCACATACTTATGCGATTTTATCAAGACAAATTTCGAGATGATCAGAATGATCGATTGTCAACCTTCAGCTACCTCACTAACAGACAACAACACACAAGGTGCTAACGCTTCAGGCGAGACGCCGACGTCTGAAGAACAAATGGCCAAAGAAGTCGATTCCAGCGAGGGTCCTGAAAATGATATGTCGGAGCTGTACTGGGTCAAGAAGGGTTGCAAAGTGTTTTTATTAGGCGTGACCAACTACATAATGATAGTTTTGTTCAACTCGGAGACGCCCACATACCCGATGAGGTCTATATCAACGACACTCCTCGAATCTATCACATCAGCATCAGATTTCTAGCCTTTTCCTGCAATGTAATAATTTTGAAATCTTTTAAATAACAAATTCAGGACAAACTGGGGTGCTCAAGTGTTCACAAGTTGAAGCAATCAAATATTTACTTATATTTAAGTCCTTAATTTGTTTTCGATTCGCATGATTACTAATTTTTCAGCCTTTGTGTTTAATATTAATTTCAAGAAAAAATAATCAACTAATAACATGTTTTTGTCCTGGACCTTAGCAAAAAGAAAAGTTCTGTGCATTTCTACGAATGCGACTAGGAAGTTCTATGATTTAAAAACATAGAATGCTTGAAAACAACTTGTCTATCAGAAATAGCAAAAATCATTAAGAACTTGCTTAAAACATTGTAACGAACACAAAGTGTTTTCTATACCTCTGCAGTAGAATCAATGTGCCTTTCAAACGTTCTTCCGAGAAAAATTCCACGAGGTTAACTCATGCACATGGCGAGTGCTATGAGTTTGTGGAATCTGGAACACCCTGAAAAAATTCAATTTCGTGCCAGATGAAAACTGAGGGGTGAAAACCCTTGGACAGTTGTCCAAAAGCGTGTACTACCACTAGTACCTTTTCTGAGGACATAGGTCTGGGGCTTGATTCTCTTCAGGTATGCAAATTTTTATGCAAATTGTTGCTACGGCCCGGTGGCCGCTTTGACTACCTCAAAGAAAAGTAGTCATATTTAGTCTCACTTTCAAGCCGTCTCAGCCGTGATTCGGATTCCAAAGCTGTCTCAGTTTTGAGAAAAACGGATCGGAATTTTTCAGCTTTTGAGACCAGGACACAAAAGTTACGAATGACGCTGAGCTCTCGATTCAATTCTATTGCTTTTTTTAACTCTAAGTTAGCTATTTTTGCCTCTAGTTTTTGCAATTTCTGACCTAATTCAATCACCTCTTACTAAAAAAAACTTCCTGGATTCCCTTGCAGCAACCGTTATTCAGAATTTTTGCTACTCTTTGCGCAGCAATCGGCTATCAATGCTGCCATTCAGTGTACGTGAAATGAGTTATCACTTTTCCAATTCGTGAAGTATAAAAGGTTGGTTTTTTTAGGAGATTGTTCATGTTAATTTTTTTATCATCACAAATTTTCAACGCGAAAAAAATTGAATCTGATGAAGTTTGATATTTCTCTTGTGAGGCATGCAGGTGAAAGTCTTAGCTTAATTGTTCCGACCATTTGAAAAATATGGAGGATCTCGGGTGTGTTTTGTTTCTTTTTTCTTTATTTTCCACGCGGAATCTGGTACCACGAATAATCATCGGAATGGGTCGAGTAATATACCAAAATAAAGCCCTTTCAGTCGTGATATACCAAAATGAAGACCGTTGAGTCATTTTTTTAACATATTTTTAAAAATATTTCTTATATTACTATGACAGTCGATTATGCCTAATTTATAGATTTACGTCTGCTCCTTTTATCACACCACCCAGAAAAACTGAACTAGTTTTGAAAAAAAAATTTCTTTTGCAGTTTTATTAAAGACTGGTCGGAACATATGTGCTACTTGCACAGTTACGGGCTTTTGATGTTAAGCTTTCTCATTGTATTAATTTCTCATGTTTAACAAATGAATTTTTTCACGTTTAGGCTACAGCGTATATTGCAATGATTAAGAAATTTTTTCGATTTTCAAAATTGACTCGAGTGTTTTCTTCACTAGGTTGGAAGTTAGCAACTGGATAGTGGGTTGCTGTCAGTTTTTCCTAAGGGTAATATTTGGAGGGTAATATGCCCTCCAAATATGAATAGACAGTTTCCTTTAGTTAGGAGAAGACGATTTTTGTAATTGCTTCGCAAATTCTCTGAAAACTTGAATTTGAAAGTTTTTCAAAATTTGAAGTTCACACTCCTTTAATTGGGTGCCAAATTTGAATTTCCAAACCGTGTAGTTCAATGCTGTCAGAATACTCTCAGGGGTCGCAAATCTTGCCTCCAAATATGACTGCTCAAATCTTTTTACTTTCTGAGATATGGCGGCTTTTATCATTTTTCCAAAAACTTGGATTTAAAATTCACGAATTTTGAAATGATTAACCCTATAGTGGGATGTTCTCTGCGCACAATCCGAGATTTCCTCCAAATTTAACTGCTCAAACCCTTTTAGCTTCCAAGATCTGTCGTTGCTGTGATTTTTCAAAAGTTTTCAAGTTTTAATTTTTCAAGTTTTCAAAAAAAACACCCCAAAATTTGAATTTTTTGACCTTTTGATTATGTACACCCAGCAGTTGCAGAATGGGCCTCCATCCAAAAATATGACGTTGTTTTGTGATATTTCAAAAGTTTTAAATCCTAAAAACTGAAGTACTTCTCAAAATTTATATTGTTCTACTGCAAGGTTTAAGTATCGGGATGTGGCGATTTTCATTGTTTTGAAAATTTTCAAAATATTCATGTTTTTTTTTCTGCCTGATGTTTTTCAAATTATTACTTTAGAGTTTATATTTTTGATGGCAGCAAATGATACACATACGGGCTACTAAAAATAACTAAATAACAGGAATATTGTGAAAATATGTGATTTTACATATAAAATCATTTGAGATTTTTTTTTAAATATGGATGTGCAGTTGTATGCTGGCGACAATTCTAGGGTTTAAATCTGAGCCTGAAACCCAATATATTGCAGATATGATCGTATATTGATAAAAGAACGTTAACTGAGCGATATACCAAATTGAAGCCCTTTCTGTCGTGATTCAAAGGACATAAAAAAATTTCAAAAAGTTTTCTCAGTATCGAGAAATGGTTTAAATTTTTTTTTATTTTTATTTCAATTTTGAGAGAATAAAGGGTGAGAGCAGGCTTGGTACAGCTTAATTATGCTTATTTTAAGCACCAAAAACTTAGTTATATTAGTTTTTGTTGAAGTTATGCAAATTTTTGCGTGACCGCTTTGACTACCTCAAAGAACGGTAGTCATTTGTAGTCTCATTTTCATGCTGTCTCTGCAATTATTCGAATTCCAAAGTTGTATCATTTGAGAAAAACTGGTCCAAAATTTTCCGCTTTTGAGACCAACTGACTTGAAATTTACGAATGATTCTGAACTCTCAATTCAATTCTAATGCTTTTTTTTACTCTAATTTAGCTATTATTGCCTCTAATTTTCGCAGTTTCTGACCTAATTCAATCACTATCACCTCTTGCTAAAATGTCATGGATTCCTTTGCATCAATTGTTGGTCAGAATTTTTCACACTCTTTGCGCAGCAATGGGCTATCCATGCTGCCACTCATTGCAAGTGAAGAATAAGTTAATATAACCAGAAGCGATTTCGAGCATACTAATGTTTTGATCAAGCCAAGCGGATATTGCACTGTAAAGTGGAAACCATTATAATAAACATACATTACTAATTTTTCTGTTGCTTAGACTCAATTACTTATTTGAAAAATTCAAAAGAACGTTTAATAAACTACTTGTTTAATAAAATCATTTGAATCATTGAAATGATCAATCCTTGAAATCATTGAAATGATCAATCCTTGAAATGTCGGCACGTTACAGTGTACTACAGTAACGTGCCGACATGCACTTTTGCTCTAAACTGCAAATTGAACTATTGATTTATGTTGCAGTATTCTTTAGTAATTGTATCAGTTTTTTATATAGTGTTTTATTGGAAAATTTAGGTGTTGCTCTATTATCTGTCTGGTTCAGCTTAGTTTCCACAGCATGAATTTTCACCCGATTCAAAGTTTTTTGACTAAAGTTGTTTATAATTTGATTTCTTACTGTTATGTGTAAAAATTAATAGTCCACGTTTTGTATAACTTCTCGTTAGTTTTTTTTTTTCACTTAAAAGTTTTTTTTTCGTTTTAATAGTTTCGGACAATGTTTTATTGTTCTAGACGCTTTATATTGCGTGATTTAGAGGTAACAATAGATTTGTAGGCTCTGTGCTTCAGACGGGGCGATATAAAAACTTCGAGATTCAAAGCTGTACCATATTTCTTGACATTTTTAATAGAACATTTCCTGATAATTTTAACAAAAACTATGTTTCCAGCTTAGTTACCGCTAGATAAATTTTTATTGAATTTTAATTTAACGCTGGCTATTGTTTTTTGCCACATTGTTTTCTTTTTTTGTGAAATACATTCGTCGAGACTCACATATAAACATTTTTAGAGACATTTTGATCGATTTTTTTAAAATAATTTTTCGGCTTGGTGGTTTTTGTCTTATTTACACAAGCAAAGCGTGTGTTATAGGATGAACTATCTTTTTTTTCAAACCTAGGTCGCAAATATTGTTGCGACGCAAGTATTGTTGCGACAAAGTGTGTTCATTTTGAAAGTGTACATTTTGATCAATAACCAGCTATTAAGTACAGCCAATGCTAAGGATATTACCACAGACTATTATATTGCAAATAGCACTTCAGTTTCAAGGTATTATGGATCTGTATCGTAGAGGTAAAGAAGGAGACAAAATAAGAGGATTCGAACCTGGACAGGGTCGGAGGTTTTTAATGAACTTTTTCGTATACTAGTTTAAATGCGTCCGCGCTATAAATTGAGGCTTGATAGTTGGTAAATTTCTTTTTTTTTTTGGCACTGCTTATGTCTCATAATTGTCGTGCGTCACTTGAGAATTTTTGTAGACTCAAAGTTTTACTCATTCAGTTTTTCTCTGTAGCGTTATCGGTCATATTTTTGCTGGTGTATGCGAAGTGTATACACAAGCAAAAATGTTTTGCTTAACAGAATCACTTGGTATCTTGGCTCATAATGTATTCATTTGTCTCAGCATCTCCGACACACTTAGTTGGAAGTATTGAATACACCTTGGACGGCAGAGGTCCTGGGTTCAAATTTGACCAGGCTCTGTATTTTTTAAGGGGGAAACTCAGCTCCAAAAAATTGTTGGCCTATGATTTGTCTGCTGATGTTTTGTCGGCTTATTTGATAAATCTGAGAAGTGATTTTTTTGTGCTCTAAGCAATTTTCGTTTTAAAACCGTTTAGTGTTTTGATTTGCTCCTGCAATTTGTAATTTTACCAACTTTGACTGGTCGTTTTATGGGAAGCATTACTTTAATGCTACACTCCGGATCGCATAAATAGCTAAAGTTTCAAGAATAAAATTTTACAGTTCGAAGTTTTTCATGACATTTATTTTGATTTCGGTTCTACGGGGAATTTACCCAAGTTATGTCGGATCAGTTTCAGCTCAATAATTGTTTTT